TCCCCTTGTCCCTCCTTTATTCTAGACCTTGGCTGGCTGCTTTGTTGATTAATTTTCCCTTACACTTGCCTGAGCTGGTGCCATCTCGTTACGTCCAGTACCTTTATTTTTGTGTCATAATGTTGGTTGCTACTCATGATAAATCTGTACTCCTTTCTCCAATGATTTTGGTCTTTGTAAGGCTGTTTTCAGTGCTAGATTTTTTAGCTTTTCAGCATACTTCAAGTTGATGAGTATCATGATGACAAAAACCAACCCTATTCCTATGTATGTTATCTATTTAAATCAGTATTCAACTTAATTGGAGCACACTGAAGTTGTAAAGAGTTATTTCCAGTATATGTAATCTGTATTTACAAGTATACCTGGGTAGATCTGGTTTAAATCCCATGTGACTGGAGGCAGGTCAAAATACAGAGAAAAAAGTCAAAATATGGAAAAAAATTGAAGGAGGAGAGGGACTCTTCAATGTGTTACATTCTTTGAAAGAAATTGGCTACTTCATGAGAAGAAAGACCTGTTCTGCTTCCCACTTAAAGATGTCTGCTGCTGCATCTCTGTTTAAAAACCCTCCACAAAACACTGAGTTATACAGCCCAAGATATAATGAGAATTTTTTGTGTGTTGCATTCACAGCAAAATAGACAAACTCTTTGTTAGATGGCCCATACTGAATATTCTGGTTAATACAACACAAGTAAGGGTATTTTGTTTTCTTGCTCAGAAATGGCTTGGCCAGAACTGGTTTTCTGTCACCTTTCATACATGGACCCCTGATGCTGAAGGCTTTCTCTCCACCTATTGCAGGAGAGTTTTCCAGCTGTGTTGTGATGGGACTGAGCACAACTCGGGATTACAGGTGCCAGGGGAGTGTGTCACATGTGGAGGTAATATCTAGTTTAGGTATGTTTTCATCTGCAATATTGTGTTCAGTTCTGGCCTCTAAGTTCAAGAAGGACAGGAACTGCTTGAAAGAGTCCAGTGCAGCGTCACAAAGATGCTGGAGGGAGTGGAGCATCTCCTGCTGAGGAGCGGCTGAGGGAGCTGGGGCTCTTGAACTTGGCGCAGAGGACACTGAGGGGTGCCCTCATTCCTGGGGATCCATTTGGAAAGGGCAGTGTCAGGAGGAAGGAGCCAGGCTCTGCTCTGGGATGGCCAATGCCAGCACTAGGGGCAATGGTCCCAAGCTGGAGCACAGGAGGTTCAAGCTGAAGATGAGGCCAAACTTTGTGAGGGTGAGGGCTATGGAGCATGGCCCAGGCTGCCCAGAGAGGTTGTGGAGTCTCCTTGTCTGCAGACACCCAAAGCCCTGGCCGTGTTCCTGTGTGACTGCTCTGGTGATCCTGCTCTGGCAGGGGTTGCACTGGGGGAGCTTTCCAGGTCCTTCCAACTCCTGACATCCTGGGATTCTGTGTTTTAGGAGGTTGGATCTCTTTGGAAAAAAACAATTGCTAAATATCTCTGCTGCTTTTTTATATCTATTGGAACAGCTCTGTATGTACTATTCAAGATAAATTATTGAAGCTGGAGTTCTCTGCTCTCTTGGCCTAAACTTAAATCAACAGTAGGTGTTTTTTCCATTTTTTCCCCAGCAAATTCCTTGTTCTGAGCTGTCACAGAGGATCCTGTTAAAGTTCTTGGTTCTTCCTCATGTGGCAGCCTTTGGGGATGCCTCACATCCCACCATGGAGAAACTTAGGGTGATAAAACTGTGAGTTGCTTAACAAGATTCTGTTACTGAAACAAATACTGAACTGAATTTAGTATTGCTTAGTGTTATTTAGGGACTTGCAGGAGAGGATTAGGTTTGCATTTAGTTTGAGGAAAAAAAACCAAGAAGAATAGAAGCTACATAGTTGTTTAGGGCTGTTTTGGCAAGTTTTAAGAATGTGGATTCTAAAATGAATAAATAAGCCTTCGTAACTATAATGCAGGGCATCTAAGCAAAGCGTTATTTAGAGACTTGCAGGACAGGATTAGGTTTGCATTTAGTTTGAGAAAAAAAACCAAGAAGAATAGAAGCTACATAGTTGTTTAGGGCTGTTTTGGCAAGTTTTAAGAATGTGGATTCTAAAATGAATAAATAAGCCTTCGTAACTATAATGCAGGGCATCTAAGCAAAGCCTGCAGTACGTGTAGCACAGTGTTGAAACAGATCAGGTGTGGGCAAGCCAAGTTTTCAGCTTCAGGTCTTTAACAGCCTCACAGATTGTGTGGAATTAAAAGGAAATGTGTCACTAAGAGAAATCAGCCTGTACTGCAGGCTTCTGGGATCTAGACAGATTGGGAAATAGAGTCTGCAGAGACAAAAAGGCACGAAGGCTGTAAAACAGAACTGGCAGCAGCTGAATTTCCTCATCTTTTTTTCCATCTCTGGAATTACAGTCGTGCCAGGTAATAAATATCCCATTACACGAAAGCAGCATTTAAGGATTTACTATAATATTATGCTTTTACGTAAAACGCTTTTGCCCTAGAAATTTTCTTAAAGAAGTAGGAGAACAATCTGACAAACAAAACCAGGGTATTGGCAGAGCTGCGTTTTTGTCATGTGTATTTAGGCTATTAGAAGAGTAGGGAAATCCTCTAGGCTTAACTTTGTATTGCTGCACGTGCTTCATGTTTGAGGGGCCCTTAAACACAGACATACAGATTAGGGTTGAATGTGAGCTGCAAGTCATAGCTGAGCGCTGTTCTAGAAAGGAGAAAAAATGCATAGGTGAAGCTAACATAGCAGGAACAGTTACAAACCTACAGAGAAGCACAAGATGAACTCACTGGAGGTTGTGAATAGCTTGTAAATATCTGTTACTTAATTTAAAGGATGAAATGGTTTGCCATAGGCTGTAGGCCATCAGACTGCAATGTACGCAGTCTGG